AAGGATAAGGACAAAAAGCGTATCCAGTTCATTTGTACACCAAAGCAAGGCACATTAAACAGATAGTAGCACTACAGTGAACACAATCCTGCCATGTATTTTGTTGTTGCTGTAGAAACCTAGGATGTCAAAAAAAAAAGTAAACACGTTCGAGCAATCAAAAGCAAACAAAAAGGATGCTAATGTACCATGAACCAAAAAGACAAGATCACGCGGGCAGGAGAGTAGCCCGTTAGAATCGCATTAAGGAAAAAAGTTGAACGATGTTGACATTAGCCGTTTGTTTACATTTCTTCGTTGTTTACAATTTGGTGGTGGCTTTTTACTGCAATTTTCTTCATTTTCGCTTGTGACAACGTGTGTACACATAAGATAAAGAATAATTTAACACAACGGCATGATTTTTAGAAGAATTTGCATAATAAAAATGATTTTTCATGCGTTCAACAATTTCGCGGTTTTCTCCGTTTTCTTCGTTGTTTACTTCCTACAACAAAGATGGCGTCGAGATTTCAGCAGCTAGAAAATAACTTTTTTCGTTCTTTCCTTCCCGCGTGATCTTGTGTCTTTCGTTCATGCTAATGTACACGGTGCAGCGAAAAGAGGTGGGGTATTCTATCATTCTTGGCTAATGTACGTATATGTGAATGTGTATATGTAGCAAAGTTTGATAGTTTGGATTTTTCACGAAATAGAAAAATTTCAAAACTGCAGCCCTGCTGCTACTACCGAAAATGACCTGTTCATTTAAAAAAATTAATGCCCGATAAACAAACAAAGAATACTGGTGGAAATGTCCCGTTTATGTCGTTTTGTCGCAGTCTGTAATTAAATGCAATACTTGATTTTTCGTTTAAAAAATGTTGGTTTAATTTCGATACTACTATCGATAGTGAGAACTAAAACTATCGAAAATATCGAATAGTGTCACTATCGATAGTTTGACAACTCTATGCAACTCTGTATAGGCAAACTGGAAAAACATAAAATCGGTGCTAAAGGCGACTTTGTGAAAATTGCTAGAAAATAAGTTATTTAACTTAAAAACGCAAAATAATTGGTGAAAACAATGCATTAACAACCTGAAAATCCGTTGGCATATTTGGTGTACACTTAGCAGACGCCAATATGATGGAAATTCCTATACAAGTAGCCGTGAGAATCTACCCCTGCTTACCACCGGCTGCAACAATAGTATCAGCACCACTACCATCAGCTGGCAATGTTGTAGATACCAGATCGAATTTAGGGGCAGATGTGGATTTGGAATTAACAACGCAAAAAGATGATAATGGTAATTTTAGCACGCAAGTAGGCGACGAAAAAGTGGAAACGGTTTTGCCAAACGAGCCATGTGCAAATGAACCCTCGAACTTCTGCGTGCAAGCCATTCCTATGGCAGCGCCAGCTTTTCTAAATGCGGCACCTACAGCTCTGCCTGGACAATTGGACATCGGCATAGCTGCCGGACTAATGCAGGTAGGACCGCATTCCTTCCCAGTGACTCATGCTCTTCCCTCGGATTGCACGCAGAGTCAAATTTACCACCAAACGGTATTTCCGCTGATCAGCTTGTTCATGGAGGGATTCGATGCATCGGTGGTAACATATGGTCAACGAGGTACGGGTAAAACATACACACTTTATGGCCCCGGTTTGAATTGTGTATACGGTGAGTCTGAACAGGGCGTTGTGCAACGGTGTGTGCGAGAAATATTTGCGCACATGGCAAACCATCCAGGTAAGTTAAAAAAATGTGCTTTTACTTATTCATAATATTATGATTTAAAACAGAACGTACCTATGCTGTAAATATCGGTTGGGTTGAGATAATCGATGATGTTATACAAGATCTTTTGGGCGTGGGCAATGTGCATTGTGAAAGTATCACCGATGTTTTCCATTGGTTACAGCAGGGTTTAACGGCTAAACAGCAAACGGCGACCCAATATGAAGAGGTTACCCCCAGAAGTCATACCCTTTTTACGCTTACACTCGAACAACAATGGGTTTCAAAAGAAGGTCTCATTCAACATCGCTTATCCACAGCTAGTTTTTCCGATTTATGTGGCTCCGATCGTGTATTTACGTTAAACTCTTTGGATCAACCAACCAGCTTGCCCAAAGATGTTGGTCTGCAAACTTTGGATCAAGTTGTAAACACGCTTACCGATCCAGCGCTTATGTATGGAGCCAACGGCAATATACCCTACAATCGAGCTACACTGACAACACTTTTGAAAGACTCTTTCGGCGGACGAGCACAAACCTTGCTAATTTTGTGCGTTTCACCACTAGAACGCGATTGTAATGAAACCATTTGCAATTTACAATTTGCTTTCAAAGTCCAATGTGTGCGAAATTATGTGATTATGAATACGTTTTCGGATGATAACACACCTATATCACCAGAAGCTTTGGTGCCTGAATTACCAGGAGGCGGTGGGCCTTGTCTTCCAGTAGGAACGGATACATTTGGGTTGCAGTTCGCAGCCAGCCAGTGGTATAAATTGGTGGCAAATGCAGAGGGCCTCTTCTCTAAGTAAGAAAAAAGATACTTTTGTATACCCAGTACTAAAAATTTCTTTGCAATTAATTACTTAATAGATTGGCTGCTTCAAACGCCGTCACTGAACTAGACAAAGAGCAAATAGAAGAGTGGCTTTACTTGAAGCAAGAATGCGAGGAGTGTTTGAGCTCTGCTGAAGCTCTACGCTCACAGAAGCAATTGGGACCAATACAAGAAGCAGATGAGCCTGAGGAGGCAATAAGCGAGCCAGAAACTTCTTTGCAACAAAACTCGGACAATGATTCCGATTGCGAATCCCAGCGGCCAGATTTGATGGAAAAGCTACAGACGTTAATGGAAGAATTACGTCTGAAGACGGACACTTTGATACAGGACAAATATAAAGAATTTTTGCAAAGTCAACCGAAAGCGGTTATGGAAAGCCAGGATAGCTTAAGGCACAAAGAGTCGGCGCACAGCATGGAGTTGGTGTTGAGTGAGCAACCTCCGCCTAGAGAAAAGTTGGACGAACGCAAAACATCCATTGGAGGTGAGTTTAGCTTTCAGGGAATAATTATACATTTATTTTTATGATAATAATTATTTAACAACTAGGACGGCGGCGATCTATCCAACCTGGCGCTAGTCTCTCCAGTGCTGAAATTGCCATGCTGAATCGCGTAGCTTCACGTGAACAAGCAGCACCCAAAGCAGTCGATGATTTTCTCGAAAGTTCAGGTGACCTACAGAACGCCTCACAGCTGCGTGCTGCAATCAATTCACCACTTGAAAATATGCAGAAGAAATTGCGCAAATTGGACACAGATATCGAAGCACGGCAATGTCAAATACAAGAGGTGGAGCAAACCATGCAATTGAAGCAGAATATTATCACAGAGCTTGTGAAAAACAGTGATACACGCTCCACCGCCAAGCAGCGTTTCCATAAGAAAAAGTCCAAGCTCGAGTCTGAGTATGAAAAGACTAAAAAGCAATTGGCCAAGGCAATAGTACAGGGCAAGGAGAAGTCTGAAGTAGAAAGATTGCGCGCTTTAATCGCCCACATAGAGCAGCGCCTGCAAGATCTCGCTTCAATGAAGCACATTGCCGGCGAAAGTGGGCAAAAGGTGAAGAAGCTGCAGCATTCTATACACGAGTCTAAAAAGGTCATCGATGAGCTGCAAAAGAAGTTAAAGAAAGATCGTAAACAACGCGAACAATTAGAGCACGAGTTAAAGGTACTAAAAGAAAAGGAAAATAGTGGCAATGGCAACAAAGCACTAGTAAAATTAGACCCAAACGCTTTTAACAATGGTGAAGATGCAGAGCGCGGCAAGAATCTGAAAGAGGTTCAGGCNGAAGGAAAATAGTGGCAATGGCAACAAAGCACTAGTAAAATTAGACCCAAACGCTTTCAACAATGGTGAAGATGCAGAGCGCGGCAAGAATCTGAAAGAGGTTCAGGCCCGCATTTCGCACTTGGATCACGTATTGCGCGAGAAATCAGAGAACCTGGAGCAATATGGTGATACCGCTGAGGGCACTGGCGAAAAAGAGGGACTGCGGCATGAAATACGCAATCTGAGGCGCACGCGGGATCATCTACTCGAGCAGCGTTGCACGCTCGATCGCAAGCTGAAGCGCGACAAAATGCTTTCACATCGTGAGGAACGCAAGCTACTCGAATGCGATGAGGCTATTGAAGCCATCGATGCAGCAATTGAATTCAAAAACGAGCTCATTTGCGGACACAAATCCATTGATACCAGCGAACGAGTGCAGCGCGAAAAGGGCGAACAAATGCTGATGGCACGTCTAAATAAACTTTCGCCAGAGGAGATGCGCACGCTGTTATATAAGTACTTCACAAAAGTGATTGATTTGCGCGATTCATCGCGCAAGCTGGAAGTGCAGCTAATGCAACTGGAACGAGAACGTGACGCTTGGGAATGGAAAGAGCGTGTACTTTCGAATGCAGTAAGGCAGGCGCGATTGGAGGGTGAACGCAATGCAGTGCTATTGCAGCGACAACATGAAATGAAACTTACACTAATGTTGCGTCATCTCGCCGAGGAGACATCAGCATCGACTAGCTCGGTGAGTTTCAGTGAAGCACAACAGCAGCATCAGCAGCAGCAACGTTACTTGCGACCCACAAACTTAGCGCTAACACATCAGCAACAACAAATGCATACAGCTGGCGGTGCTATGAACACATCATCACAGTATTCCGACACTGATCTCGATTTAGATTTCTATAAGAACGCTCCTATACCGGTGAGTGGTAAAATTTTAAAGCCTCCCAAGCATGGTGAAATGGAAATATGTCCATTGCCCGATGCTTTGGCTAAATACAAACCGTTGGATAAGTTAAAGGAGAAGGAGCGTGAATCGAAGAACAAACTATTTGCCAAATTTCAAGTGCTCACACGCTATGCTGGTCAGTCGGTAACTGCCGCAGCCGCTGGTTGCGCTGCGGACGAACAGGCCGGCAGTAGTGGCCGTAAGAAGGATAAAGGGCAGCAGCTGGCTGCAGCCATACCACAAGAAAATCTAAAACGCTTAATTTCGACTCCTCCAGCCACAAAAGTGACACGTCAGAAGAATAAGATCATCATACAGGATGCAACGCGCAAAAATTAGGCGAAGTATGAATGATAGGAGGGTGAGCATTTGCAGCTAATATATTATTAAAGTAGAAGAGAAAGAGGGAAAGATAATGAAAAGGTTTAACATTACAGTTACNGGTAGTGGCCGTAAGAAGGATAAAGAGCAGCAGCTGGCTGCAGCCATACCACAAGAAAATCTAAAACGCTTAATTTCGACACCTCCCGCCACAAAAGTGACACGTCAGAAGAATAAGATCATCATACAGGATGCAACGCGCAAAAATTAGGCGAAGTATGAAGGTAGAAGAGAAAGAGGGAAAGATAATGAAAAGGTTTAACATTACAGTTACATTTTTTATTACAGTTGTGTCTTTCTACCCTTAGCTAACCATGACCTAACTTTTGATGTATTTCTACCTAAAGTCTGCTAAGTCTGTCTAATCAGTATGCGTTTTTTTTTACTCCACTGAAATTTTTCACAAAACACACTTCCATCTTTTCAGTTTAAAGTAGCAATATTGAGTTTTTTTTTATATTTTTTATACATATGTATGTATGTTTCAAATGTACAACTTCGTTGTATGCATTTCAAAATGTATCATGTCTTTTCTTAACTTTGAAATTATACACATTTTTTTTACGTTATTGTCGATACGAATGAATATTGTGTTTTATCGGTAGCTTACCAAATATTATCAGGTTGTTTTAAAAGCGTTTACTCATTGTTTCCCTATGTGTTTGGTGCTTTTGTACTTATAAAATGTTTGTTCCAAATATTTTTACATATTTTGGGGCTCAGTATACATATTTTCGTGAATTATTTTAATTTAACTTAAAACATTTGTTAATTTTTACATATTTATAGTGTTTTATAGTGAAGCAAGAGTAACAATAAACGTCGTAAAGAATTTTAAGTCATTTAAGATTCATTAAGAGGAGTTCCCTTAAGCAGAAATCTCAAAAACGTCGCAAATTTTCAAACTTTGACTGAGCTGTTAAAATCTTCATGTAAAATACATTCTGAGCCTAAAAATTTACAGTTATTCTGAGTTGAATAGATTCGTAGAAATACTTTTCATTGAAAATCCAAATTACATACATATATACGTATGTATGTTCGTAGCAAATTTAATATAAGCGATTCCCTTAAATTACGAAAAATAAAAACTCAAAAACACGAAAAATCTTTATAGTAATTTTAAAAAATTTTTACAATTTTCTAATGTTTTTGAGGTAAATTGATCTGGCGAAATTTTAGAAGTTTTAGTTTCATATTTTTCAAATTAAAAGAAACCGCTTAAATAATGTCGTGTTTCCACTGGACATTAAATCACAAAATTGATCGAGTGAAATTTCAAGAGTTTTATGTTTTCTTATTTCTCAAACTTAAAGAAATCGTCTAAATTGTGTCGGATTTCCCCTGAACATTAAATTACTGATCTGGCGATATTTTAAGAGTTTCAAGTTTTATATTTTTGATACTTAAAGAAATCACCTAAAAAATTCCGTATTTCCACTAGACATTAAATCAAAAAATCGTAAATTATTGATCGGGTAAATTTTTAAAAGTTTTAAGTTTTCTTATTTTTTAAATTCAAAGATATCGCCTAAATTATGCCAGATTTCCACTGAACATTAAATTATTTATCTGTCGAAATTGAAAGAGTTTCAAGCTTTTTTCTTCAAATTTAAAGAAATCGCATAAATGATTCCGTATTTCCATCGGACATTAAACTACAAAATCGTAAATTATTGATCGGCCGAATTTATAAGAGTTTTAAGTTTTCTAATTTTTTAAATTTAAAGAGATCGCGTAAATAATTGTCCTTTATCACTGAGCATTAAATTAATAATCTGGCGAAATGGTACGAGTTTAATTTTTCTTTTTTTTCAAAATTAAAGAAATCGCCTAAATAATTCCGTATTTCCACCGGACATCAAATCAAAAAAGGTATTGTGTATGTATGCTAATCAGTCCAACGATTTTCGTGGACTGAGATGGACGAGGTACACTCGCACTCTTTTTCCACTCTTGCCCACAAAAAACCGGTTTCAGTCCGCCTGAGAAATCACCTAAAAGCTTGCAAATTTTTTTAATAAAAAATATGATTTATTTAATTTTTACAGTTATCTATTCCTTTTGGTGCTCAACTTTTCGCTGTTTTTGGTTTGTAAATTAAGCCATACAATTTTATAAAACAAAGTATTGGTTTTATAAAAAAAAAGATTTTTTTGTAATTTTTTTGAAATAAAAATTACATACATAAGAATAGGCACCATATTTTGTTTTTTTTCTTTAATCAAACAAAATGCTATTTCAAAAGAATACTCAGAACATTTTCTTAGAAAATAAGCTAAGTCTGTTCTTAATACACATAATTAAGCATATAAGTTAAATTTATTTCGAAAAATGCGCTTCCTAAAAAGATAAATAAAAAATTGTGTATTTTTTTGTCTTAGAAATAACTATCTTAAACGTTCACTTCAATAGCCACCAAGTTTTTCTATATAAAATATTGTGAACATTCTGTAACTTTTTTTAAGTCTTTTTTTAAATATAATTTTGTACACATAGTATGTATGTAGGTTTTTAAGTAATGCTTATACATACCTACATAAATGTCATAATATTTTGTGCGCTTTTTCCAATTATGCACATTGTATAAGTCTAGCTATATTTTTTTAAGTTTACGAATTGAATATTGTACTTCAATTTAAATTAATATGTTTAGTTAGGTTAAGCTTTAATAAGTATAAAAATGCAAACAAATTTACAACTTAACTTAAAACCAGTTGAAGAAAAAACGAAAGTGTAACAACAACAAGAAATCAGAATTTAATACTCAAACCCACTTAAAGGCATTTAAGCAATTTCTCGTCTATTTGTAATGTAGTGTGTAGCAATAAACAAAATAACAAACGTGCATACGCAATTTTTAGCAATCGAATTTGAAGAAAATTTACAAAAATTTACTACCTAAATACAGCAATTTATACAAATTTTGATACCCCAAAAAATGTAAAGATTATGTTACCAAATAATATACATACATACAAATATTGCATTACAAAAGGTTAAAAGACATTTTTTTTACGCAGACTACTTATATCTATACCGTGATACAAAATTTTGTTATCATGCTAAATCCATACATACCTCATCCGCTTTTTCTTAATTCAAATAGTGTAAAATTACCTCAATTGTTTTTTTTACATTACTTTTCTTTTGACAGATTGTTTTCCCCCTCAAAATATTACTTTCACACTCACCAGACATATGATGAACATATACACACCTATTGCAGCAATTACTTCTATATAACTATATGTATCTCAAGGTGTCTAAATATGTATGACAATTCATAAAATATCTATAAATCTACAAAATACATATTTTCATTTACATAAATGCCATATAAATTATATTTAATACATATTTTAATGTAGTACTTATATGTATACATAAAATATACATACTCACAAAAAATATTCATAAATATTAACAAGTTAAATAAAAAATGCAATACTAAATAGTACTGAATGTGTTTAACGTTAAGGAATTTGTATTCTTTTTTTTGTCACTACGGATATGGCGTTTTCTTCAAGAAATATGGCCTTGTCATAGCCCTTTCCATAGCGTTTGCGTGAAGAGTGCAATAAGAAGGCTATATTTTTCAGTAGGAACGAAAATGCCATTAGTTTGTTGCTAAAGGCTTTTCTCTCAATGAAAACAAAAGACTTAAGCAACAAACTTGAATCAGGGGTATAAAATGTTTTATACGGCTCACATTTGGCTGAACCTTCTCCTTCAATTTGTGGTGTGTGTCGGTATGTTGTCACACAAATGGCGGAGCGCACAATTTACCGCCTCTTACGAGTGTTAGGCGGTTTTTATGAAGAACTTTTTCATGGCAGAAATACACTCGGAGATTTGCTATTGCCCACCAAATGGCAAGGGTGGCCGCTATCGGAAAATACTTTTGATGTTTGCAGACCTGCTATCCTGCGGTCGAATCGTAACAGTCGTGAACGAGCAACGTACTGCTCGTCTCGTATACCGAATAACGATTCATGCCCTGGGTCCTACCGGCAATTCCTCTATTACGAACACTCTTTTATACTGAAGTTTATTTGAAAATTCACCAACGAATTTTAAAAATTTATCAGACTAAAAATTTTAAATGACAAATTTTTCGAACAAAATTGTGTAATTTTAAACTTTCATAGGCTGATAAATTTAAAATTGATTGGTCCAACCGGGCATGCATTTCTTAATAAGCTATGAGCGAGTGAAACGATGATTGCGAATTTTCAAATGAATAAAAAAAACATCGCGCTATTTCAGAATTTGGTTAAAGAACGCCCTATTTCAAACGAAAATACATTGAAAATGTATTTGAATTGGCAGCTGAGATAGGAAGTTTGTGAACCCAATTCTGAAATAGAGCGATTTGCAATCAAGTTCTAAAAGGGGGCGTTCTTCAACCAAATTCTTAAATTGGGGAGCTGTTGAAAAATTTTCTGAGATATTGCGTTTTCGAACTGCCACTCAGCCATCGATATATTGTGCTTGGCTCATAGTAGCTTTCACGCAATAAACAATGCATTCCCTACATTGCTTTACAACGCTCGTCCCTTGTTCCTGTAGTCTTTAAATTATTTCAGTCTCGAGTCCATATTTTTATTATTTTTAAGTCTTAGCTTTTCTGCGGCCAATATTTAGATATAGAGTGATGTAGATCTTTGACTGCAAATATTTGTGAAATATTAATGTTTTTTTTGTAATTTTTTTTTCAGAAAATTTGTACTACAGACTTCGGCAAACTTAATCATCATGGAGTGATACTCAGTTGAACAACGCGTAGAACGGTGAAGCCAATAAAAAAAAAAAAAAACACTATGAGCGATCAAGCGTTAACAAACAAAACTGCACCCACTGCGAGAAAAACTATGTACTCACAACCAGTAACTGTTTGGCGTGGTTTTGGGCTGGCTTAGTCACCGGACCGAAGTTCATGGAAAATGATGCCGGTAACGCTGTTACGGCGAACGGACGTTATTGTGACATGAGAACAAACTTTTTATGGTCTGAATAAGATTACAATGACGGTTTGAATGAAAAATGAAACAATGCCCCTATTGCGAACATCTGCGGTCTTATTGAATCACCCTATAGCCTGCGTGTCTGTATCTCTGTCTGAAGTTTTCAATGCCTTTTTGTGAAAATTTACATCTTTTGTCAGCTCCGTTTTATCGGAGAATATAGGATGTGGTCGACCTTCTAAATGATAGGTGCATATAGGTATAAATAACTGCTGCANCTTTTGTCAGCTCCGTTTTATAGGGGAATATAGGATATGGTCGACCTTCTAAATGATAGGTGCATATAGGTATAAATAACTGCTGCACGACCCAAGAAGTTTTCATATTCCACGCTCGCAGAAATCTTCAACTATTGAATTATAAGATGTGCCACCCAACCCAGCTTAAGATTCGTACATCGCTGTCATTGAAGTCGTCTAACGGCAACGTGCTTTCCAACAAAAAGCATTGGATTAGTACTAAAATTGGCTGACAGCGACCTAAGAATATTTGCGTCCTAAGGTTAAACTTCCCGCTTACCCTTTTAACTCTATTATGTGGCTTAGTACTCGCATTAGTCGCATATATCTACTAGTATAAGTTGCCGTCTAGCCGCCATTAAGGATTAAGATAGTCTTGAATATAAACGGATGCCTATTGATACATAAGTAACGCTTAAAAGACGAACGGAAGAAAATTGGTAACTTAGCGCGGTCCAGTTTGGAGTCCGTGCTGTGCATTTTCATCGATATATAAATAGGCGAACATACATATTTACTATATACTTTTATGGAAGATAGAAATTCTTTTCTGCATCACAGGGAAGCTTTTGACGCATTGCCGTAACTGAAAAAGCTCTCATTTTTTGATGTACGCATATGCGGCAAAACAACAACAAAGATGCATGGAAGGAATTAAAACAGGCTAATTTTTCACCAATCAAATGTTTTGTTTGCGGCAACGTTTTTATTGTGCCGTCCCGCCATGTTCTGTGCGTTTTGTTCGTCAAAAGCATCTCTGTGACGCAGAAAAGATTTTCTATCTGGCGGGGCCTTAACGCGTTCCATATTTAAAAAATCCAAAATCAACGCGAGTTTTAACCCTAGAAAGACCAAAGTGGTCCAAATAGCGCAATCACATTTTTGATACAACATATTACCAGAATTATTGCATTAGCATGGCTAACGTTTCAAGAATTAATAATCCGACTTTGTTTACGTTAAGGTAAGTTCAAATTTTCGTCTTCCTAGTGTTAAGAAACTTGCACCTTAATTTCTAGAAATTTTTTTAAAAAGATTGAAATTAAAAAAAAAATAAGGTTAGTTATTTTTATTTTTGTATTAAGTTTTAAAGTCGCATTTACGTGGTTTTTGTTACAGAATATGCTAATTTTTTTTTTTAACTAATGGATATTAAATCCACGAAAGGAAAACTGTCAATACTGAGAGTCAAAAAGGGTGCGCTATTCAAGTAGCCGGCACTGTATATATGTCCCGGTTTTAACAAAAAACATTTTTTCCAGTTCGCTATAACAGTCTTTGGTTTGCCTATATGTAAAAGGCATCCAACTCCTTCGCTTAAGACCTCAAACACGGTTTCAAACGCCAAGTGAAGTAAAGTAAATGCAATACAAAAAAACTGCGTCCTGACTCATTAAGTGCATTTAATATGCCATAAAACGCGCAATTTACCACCCCTACAAACCTAGATCATATTCGCACGCACACAAAAATCAACGCACAGCTAAATGGGCAGACGTGCAACTCCACTACCGCTAGCTGGTTACACGTGCACGCATGAGTCATTTATGTAGCTACCTATATTTATGTTTTTGATTTATTATATTCTCTTCTGGCAACATACAAATATGGAGTAATCAAAACAAAAACGGCAAAAATTAACGCAATAATAACAAACACTTCAAAAGCCGGCAAATAATTTCCCAAAACAAAGAGACTGCTTTGTGCAAACTCGTGTTGTATCGAACCTATTTCCCCTCTCTTTGCGACTTGTTTCGTAAGCAACAAGCTTGTTGTTTGGGGGTGAAGAATGATGAGACATTTTTGTGGTAGCCGTTGCAGTTTTTTAAGGGATCGTTTTTTTCAGGAAAAAATGTAGTGTAAAATTGCACAATTTTTTCCATTGGTTAAGGGGAGCATAGCCTTATAAGTCATAAAGCTGGTTCTTGTCACTTATCGCGTTAGGAGACAAAATAAAAAAATATATATGTAAAATATTGGAAATAGGTAATACTTGCCTGGAACATGTTAGAACATAAGAATTCTCTAAAGTTTTGTGTTTAATGACATTGAAAACTACAATTTGTTAGAAAATTACAAGAGCGCATTGATGTTGACTAATTAATAAAAAATAAAAAAATTATTCAAGAAAGCTAACATATCGTTGCCTTAATATAGAAAGGCCCTATCTGACATCGTCGCTGATTTACAAAAAGTCGTAACTAACTAAAAATCGAAAATTTACGTTTTAATTGAATTTGATGCATTTGATCGAATTACGGCTTTGTGCATTTCAGCGACGATGTGAGATAGGGCCTTTCTATATTAAGGCAACGATATGACATATACAAATTGTGTAACCGCAACACTAATGAACTAGATGTCGAAAGTTCAAATACCTTATATATAGCTTGTCAGAAGAACTAACTATTGAATTTCAAAAGTAAAGTTGTAGCCAGTGCTGGAAGTTAAGTCTCAGACGGGTCGTATTGAATATAAGCCTAACAGCTGATTGCAATTTACCAACTACCAGAAAAATTATCAAACTTCCACCACGATTATTCTGTAACCGGTAAACCGATAGAAAAAAAAATTTACACAAACAAAATACATGGAGAAAAATTATCGAACTCCGACTTACCGAGTACCAAGCTCGGTGTGAAGACCCTAATTGTATATCTAACTGAGAACGAACTCATAAAAAATCTTGTTTTCCAACGTTCATAGTATGCTGGAAACACACCCGAAATGGGTTCGAAAAAAATGAAAACCATAGTAACAAGAGAGAAAGTGAAATTCAGCTCATTCTCGAAGGGAAATATAAGGCAATCACTCTTTCTCATTAAAATTTCAATTCGATAATGAACTGGATTTCGAATTCATAACAAAGAGAATATACATTGGATAACGGAGGTTCATTTTTGTGGAGAATGCCCTGGTTCCCGAATCGAAAGAAAGTTTTGTTCTTCTTATACTACATTTTTATTTAGCTGTTTTTACCATACAATTTTAGACATAAATATTTTTAACAAAAATAGAAAAATTTACCACAAATCAGAAAATTTTTTTATAAAAAAGATAGTTAAAGAAAAACAATTGCGAAACAAAACATTTTTAGAAGAAAATTAAGAATACACTTTTTTTAGAAAATATGGCTATTTTAAAAAAAATAATTTTTATAGGAAGACAACTTTTCAGAAAAAATATTTTACAAAAAGCAGGAAAAAATATCAAAACGGAAGAAAATGTTTGGTGTATAAAAAATGTAGGAAAAAAATTTTGAGGAAATTGAATCAACCGACTTTAAAATAGGAGGAGGTTCTCATTTTGTCGTGCATATTTTTAATTACGGCGCGAAACGCTTAGAACACCAATAACGTATGGCAATTCGAGGTTATTTTTAAAACAATTCGACTTTGCAATTTGCCATACCTATCGCCTACGAACAATCAAAAATGCATGAAATCAACTCAAATCGGTTGCATGCTGCAACGAATTTCCCCAATAAGTGTTGGCGTGTTGGCACAAAAGCAACAAAAATACTACGCTTTCATTACAAGCAACAGCAGGGTCCAGCTAGCATCGCACAAGTTGCTCGGTTCAGTTGGAGTTTGGATTTTGTCGGAAGTAGAGGGCCGCGCGTCGTTCACGTTTAACATACGTTTAGGGAATCTGTGAGTGTTTGTCAGATTGTGTGCGTGTGTGTGAATCAATCACACAACCACACCAACAACCCCCAGACGGTGTATCTACTACAATAAAAACAACAAAAAATAAGAGAACAACGACACCGAAGCGACGAATACAAATATAGCAATCAAGCGAAACCGGTTCCGGTGCTACGCGTTCGTTCGTTTGGTGAATTGTGTGCGTGTGCGCGACACACATACATACATACACGCACTTATCTAAGTAAGAATTGGTTAGTGTTTTTATGTACGCATAAATTTAATTCAAGCAAAATAGTTAATTAATTCAATTCGCTGATTTTTGTGTGGAAAATATGCGAGTGCATTGATATAAGCGAAAATATGGTGAATTTAGTGAAGTGAATGTGCAGAAGTTCTAAGAGAAGATTTGCGTGCTTTTAGCACAAAGTGAATTAGAAAATTTGGTAAAGTTCCTAATGCAGCAGCGCCGAGTGGCGAGTGCTGGGGCATATAGCGTGTGTGTGTGGTGTGTAAAGAGCCACCCCCGTGGATTAGTGGCCTCTTTGCGACTGCACACAGCGCCCGCTGTAATGGCCGATTATTTGACTGGCCGATAGTTGGCTAATTTTCAATGAAGAATCTTGTAAATGCTGTATACACAAAAAGGTGGGTTTAAGTGTAGAAAGTATTTAGTTAAAATATGCATGCCAGCATATTTTAGCCTTTTCTGCGGGTGTGGGCAGCTAGTCTAGCAGTCACTCGATGCATCGCCATTTTTGCCAAGTTTCCATCTACTTCCCAAATCTAATCCTAGCCATTTAAGTTTGCTTTTGATTAGTGTAAGTTTGAAGTGAAAATGCAAATTATCCAATCACTTTTGCATGCAGCAGTAATGGAGTTCCGTCACAGCTATCGATTTTTCGCTCCACTTTTTTTCTCGCCAATTTTCCATGCGGCTGCCAGCAGTCAGTGAGTTTCCACAGCAGAGCACCCTTGTGTTCCTGAAGGTACTCCATCCCTCCCACCCCTTTGACATGCTTTTAGCCAAAACACACGCGTACAAACATGCGTACACACAAAAGGGTGTGTACTTGTGTGCTTTCGAGCAGAGTGTTTGTAGAGAAAAATGCTCGTTTGTCATTGAATTTTTATGGGTGCGGTAACTTTTGTGGGTTTAAAAACAGCTTAAAATCCAATCCTGCGCTTCAAAAACGCCTCCATATTAAAATTAGGGGAATATCCTACAATTTGTGCGAAAATTTTTTTACTCTGCATTCATTTTTCATTTATAAATTTGCATTTGAAAAATATCTTTTGCTTTGCAAATATTTGCATTCACTGCAAACCATAGTTTTTTTCGTTTGTATAAAGTAATTAAATGCGCATGCCCCGCACATCGCTACAAATCCATATGTATCAGTGGAAAACTGTCAAATTGCAACTGTCAAAATCTGTATGTTCAAATGAGTGGCATATACCTGCCATCCCTGTTTCTCACAGTGCCAAGTGTTGCAATTTGTGATTTGCCTCATTTTTGCTGTGCAGCCTAGTGCGTCTACTTTGGTCCTTTGAATTTCAGATGTTGCCAAATCTATGTTATTGTTGCGGTACAGGGTAAATAAATTAGAGTTTGGAAATAATGTCTGCGCAGAAAAGAATGTTTTTAATTTTAAAACATTTTCGATAACTTTTGTGCGTTTTTAAATTAAATTAACTTTATTTTTCAACAGTTGTTTTATGTGTATTTCTCGAAAATTTCAAAATTAATAAATTAGTTATTTGCTACCAGAGTTTAAAAAAATGTTTTAATCATATGTCAAGTAAAAATGTTGTAGAATTTTCGCGATTGTTTTTTTTTTCAATTTTTAATATTTAAAATTATAAGATTTGCGTGGATGTCTTTATTTTATACGTAGAACGAAATGAAGGGGTGTCCCATATAAAATATGTACATGGTCTTTCCCCCTCTGAAAGTGTTTAAAAATTATTAGGAATTGCATAATAAATGTCGCTAAGCTTAGTAGACGTCATTATAAAATAGAGAGAGTTAAAAAAACTGTAAACTGTTTTTAAAGGAGTTCTGCGCAAAAAATAATGCCTGCAGCGTAGCCGGAGTAGGACTAATGAAAATTTATTTTTGAAGCGCGACCAAAGGCCACCTACGCGAAAAAGGTTTTCTGCGCAAAAATACAGTGGCCATTATTTGGTATACGCATGGTGGAAATATTATTTTAAAGAAAATTTATATGTTCGAAAAAGATTTTATTTTTTTTTTAATTTTAAAGTTCGAAAATCTTTTGTTATGTTCTCCGTCTTATTTTTTTATTGTAGTGACTCTATTATGCGTTTTTGAGGCATTATTATTATATTTACTTCTACATTCAGTTTTATTAAAAACATGGATCAAATTTATTTCTGGGTTAAAGCTCCGTTAGTCTAAACTTAACTTAACTGAACTTATCGTAGGAAATCATCAATGCTTACTTGACACGCCAACTTAAGCCAAAAGCGAAACTTAAGAATCTAAAATCATTCAGTTTTTTTAAAAACATGCAGCAAATTTATTTCTGGGTTAAAGCTCCGTTAGTCTAAACTTAACTTAACTGAACTTATCGTAGGAAATCATCAATGCTTACTTGACACGCCAACTTAAGCCAAAAGCGAAACTTAAGAATCTAAAATCTATAGGTTCTTAAATTTCTTACGGTAAGTTAAGTTTGAACTAACTGCCAACAGAGTTTTTCATATAACAGGTTGGCAAAAGTACTACGTAAAGATAAGTAAATTAAGTCTAGACTAACTGAGATTCTAAAAAATAATTAATCAAATTGCTTTCATACGATTATCCCGTTTTTTGCACAAAAAATGCAAAAAAAAAAATATTAAATTCATTTGAAATAAAATGAGATCTTACATAGGATCTGCTTAGGTTTTTTACTGCCTTAGGCGCTGGACAGAAAGGTAACGCCATAAGTACGTTAATTCCCTAAACGATACCTAATAAACTTCACCAAAGAAAGGCGGGGTAGTGAGAAAGTATTATCAACTCGTAGCATGGAATCTCTTCAGGAATAGATACTCATAATCCATTTCCCAAGAGTCGATATCAGCAGAATCATTAGCTTCGAAAGGAACTTCAAAATAGAATTAGGAAATAAAGCAAGCTGGAACTAAAACAAGTGTGCACTGGTTATTGAGTGCGTAATAGACTTAATGCCTTAGTAGCAAACAAAAGCGTCTTGTTTCTCTGGGTCCCGGGCCACAAAGACATAGAGGGGAATGAAGGGGCAAACAGGCTTGCAGCTACAACACCAATAGGCCCCGAGTCCTTCTATGCAATAGTAGTCCTATATACATATCTGGGAAGAGCCTAGGAGAGAAGAAAGAATAAATAGAGAATTGCCTTGAAAACAAAGCACTGGGCAGCGCTAATCAAATAAACTAATGGGGAGATCGAGTCACTAAACGCATATAACATCACATGCACTCGATATCACCAAACAATCTATATGATGCCCTAAAGAAGCTGGGACTGACCGAAGTGCTGTAAGGAGCAAGAGCGCACAATAGATCTCATGGTCATAGTGCATTCCTTAACTTAACATCTGTCTATATATGTTAGTTCCATGGATTGATCAATCAAACAGCGATGGCAGCTCCTGTCTTTTCAACTTTATAAAGAATTTCGCAGCCGCACTGTTCCAAACACATTATCTAATTGTTTCAGGTTCGTTTAACGCTTTCTGTAAAAACCACCTGCCGTTAATTGGCGCTAGTCCCGTTACGAGAGCTACAGATGCACCGATCAGCTTAAGTATTGCAAAAACTTCCGTCTGAAAACAAGTCTTCATAACATCCGGGGCCTAAGAAAAACTCAAGCTTTTCTCCAGAAGTTTTCTCCAGATACCAGCTGTCACTAGCTCCTTTTTCAGTCTTGGGGCCTTTTGTGAAAGGATTGCGTAGGTCTCTATAGTTCTTTAATATGCAAATTGACGCTGTATCTGCTTCCAAAAGAGATTTCTAGCATAAACACACTATTTAAGGACAGTCTAAATAAACTTTGTGCGTGCATTTGCCTTTATCTTTAGTAGTTGAAGGTAGCACTTAATATCAATGAAAATTTCTAGTGTTTACTTGCTTCCAGTCTCATTTTCATCTTAGTTACAAGGTCATCTAGTGCTTATTCACGGTTATTTTTATTGATCATACACTAATTTTGCTCCTTAAATTTATAAAATCGAAATTCAATCAAATTTAATTTCTCACAGTGGACTTGTCATCACTCGCCAGCTCCTTTCAGTCCTGTCATGCACTCATAAATGTGTATTTACCTCCAAGCACACACATTTTTTTAAGTGTAGGTACCTTTTCCAGAAGTGATGAGTATTATTATTTTTCGCTAGCAGCATCTTAGTTTGTCTGCACTAGGTGCTGTATTTAGGTAGAAAAATTCACGAGTATGCATGCAGCTGTGTATGTACATAAAAATTTACTGAGACGCTGTTATTGTAGTAGTTATTCGTATTATCCTTGCACGACACAGGATATTAACCCTCAGCATGTTAGTCGCGCTGGCAAGCAGATGTGCTACCATTCGGGCAGACGAGCAGGCAGGCAGGCAGGCCATCAGCCATCAGGCTGCTGGTGGCAAATTCACAGAACTAAGGCAAGTGTCGTTGATGATGCCGTTGCCATTTGGTGGATAGTACTTGTATTTATGTTGCTGTGCATCATTCTTTCTGTTGTCAATGTTTTATAGAAGGTCCCGTTGTTGCTACACTACGAATACAGACACATTAACGTATTTACAGCTATTGTTTCAATCTAAATAGTTATACCTAACATACACATATACATATGTATTTAGTTGCGCTGCTTCTTGGCTTAGTTCATCTAATTTTTATTGGCATTTTTCTTTCACATTTTCGGCATTTTTCTTTCTCTGTATATGTACATATGCATGTGTCCTAGAGTTCTTATGTTGATTCTTATTTTTATGTATGCACTTTATTTGTTTTCAGGTTATTTTTATTTAGTCAGCATGCAGGGCATCTTTCCTTGTTGTTTTGTAGCCATGATTCTTGCTATTGTTACAGTCGCCGCGCGGGTAGTTCTGTGATAGTTTATGTTGTTTTTAATGTTAAGTACTGATACTAAGTGCATACCTTACTGAGTTGCAATTTATACGCAGGTGTTCACAAATCCGAACATGAAATGCATGTAGCTGAATCTTTGAATTTTTTTCCTTATAAGTTGTGGAAATAATTGGGTG